GGGATCAGCAGGGATAAGCACCACAATTTCTGCTGGTTTTATTTTCCAGCCACCAAAATATTTCCAAGCATTTTGCCTATCCTCACTAGGACCCAGAGGCTTCCTTTCTCATGGGCCCTGCTGGAGGCATGGAAACCCAGAAATGTCTCCAAAGCTTGCCTAGCACAGAAGGCTCCAGCCAAACCTGCCACGGGGCAAACTGCTCTTCAGACCAGGTTGCTCAGGGCCCCATCCAGCCTAGCCTTGAACATTTCCAAGGATGGGAGCGTGCAAGGGCAACTCAAGCTTACAAAGCTACAGAATCTGCAAGGTGTAAAGAAAGGTATAGCTTTGTTCAGACTTACAAAAACCCCATTTTCATGCATTATGCCCTTCCAGGCTCTGGTGAGTAGGAACAAAAAATTTTGGCCTCAACTTAAGAAGATTAAATGTATTTTTCTAAAACACAGACAGATTTCTTAAACCACGAAACCTAATGTGTGTACACATCTCTAAATCAGCCTTTCATATTGTCCCACACTTTTTAAACAGGAAAGTGAAAACATTTTCAGGGAGCATCAAATGATGAGTAGCACCAAATGCATACAGATAATAGTTCCCAGGTCATTATGAATATGAGATTCTTTACCTTTGGATCCTTGATTTACTTGCTTTTACCCAAAATCCTTACTTTCATGTAGAGGTTGTAGTGAGGTGGGTATCAGTCTCTTCTCCTGAGAAACAAGTGACAATGAGAGGAAACAACCTCAGGTTGCACCAAGGGAAGTTTAGATTGTATATTAGGAAAAATTTCTTCACTGAGATTTTCTTCACTGGCTGTCAAGAATTGGAACAGGCTGCCCAGCAGTATGTGATTGCAGCACCATCCCTGGAGATATTTATAATCTATAGAGCTGGTGTTTAGGGACATGGTTTAATGCTGGACATGGCACTGATGGGTTTACAGCTGGACTTGATGATCTTAGAGGTCTTTTCCAGCCTAAATGATTCTATGATCTCCTGTGTAGATAGACATCTTCTTGAATATTGGCCATCTTGACTTCTGAGAGAAATAGGTACTTTTATTTTGCCTTTTTTATGGGCCTTGTAAATGAAGAGATGAAAGATATTTAAAATGGTGATAAATTTTACAGCACTAAGTTGATCTCTCCTACTGTTTTCTAAGCCTTGAGCTCTCTCAGATTGATCAACTGTATTGTTTCCTAACTCCTCTGACCTGAATTTGTAGGGGAATTCCCATCATATTTCAAAGGTCAAAGACACACCCTTGATTTTTCCTCCCCTTTAAAAAATAACAGAAGGTTGTGCAAAGCATTTTGACCCTCATTTCTGGTGACATGAGAAAAATGGCTGTCACTCCACCTGATACTCCTTAGCAGGGATACATCTACATACTTTTGTTTGTTGGAGCAGCTGCCCACTCACAGCATCTAAAACTGGGAGGTGGCTAATGTAGTTAGAAGAAGAGTGGGATCTAAAAGTAGAATTATTTCACATCCCAGTGAACTGGATTTTTGGTTAAGAGAGCAGTGGCTTTGCTCTGTGGCCCTGCTTCCTTTCTGCCAAGTAGAAGGCAAGAGAGAACATGAGTTCTCCCATAATGCAGTAAATCAAATTTCTCGAGTTAAAAAGTGCACAAAGTCTTTTTGGCATCAAAGAATCCTTTTCTGTAGAAAAGTCAAAACCATGCTGGAGACCATGCTGTTGGGTTGGCTGGAGAATCAAAGTTTCCTTTCTGATCCATCTCCTACAAATGCAAGAAGCTGTTGCCAGACAAATTCAAAAACTCAAATGTTGCCTTGTCTTCAACACCAAGTCTCTAGTCAGGCTTTGTTTTTTCTCAGTGTTTCTTTCTGTCACCAGTTTTAATTTTAATCCTAAAAACATTCAACGCTGTCTTCTCACAAGAATTTCTGAGAGCAGGAAATGTGCAACATGTGAATCTTTAACATACAGTGATAGTTCCACATAAAGCCAAGGAGAATGCCAGTGGTTCCATCATTCTCCAGCCCCACCCTGTCCGGTGTAGAAAATCTTTAGGATGCAAGAGAATGGGACCTAAGAGTAGAACTGGGAACTTGTTCTATGATGCAGCCTTGTTTATACATGTTCCTGGTATCTTTTCAATTCTGGACTCTCCTGTCTCTAGTCAGGAGCAATGTTTCTGTGTGGGATTAGAAGAAAAAGAAAAAGAAAAAGAAAAGAAAAAGAAAAAGAAAAAGAAAAAGAAAAAGAAAAAGAAAAAGAAAAAGAAAAAGAAAAAGAAAAAGAAAAAGAAAAGAAAAAGAGGGGAGGGGAGGGAGGGGAGGGGAGGGGAGGGGAGGGGAGGGGAGGGGAGGGGAGGGGAGGGGAGGGGAGGGGAGGGGAGGGGAGGGGAGGGGAAGGGAAGGGAAGGGAAGGGAAGGGAAGGGAAGGGAAGGGAAGGGAAGGGAAGGGAAGGGAAGGGAAGGGAAGGGAAGGGAAGGGAAGGGAAGGGAAGGGAAGGGAAGGGAAGGGAAGGGAAGGGAAGGGAAGGGAAGGGAAGGGAAGGGAAGGGAAGGGAAGGGAAGGGAAGGGAAGGGAAGGGAAGGGAAGGGAAGGGAAGGGAAGGGAAGGGAAGGGAAGGGAAGGGAAGGGAAGGGAAGGGAAGGGAAGGGAAGGGAAGGGAAGGGAAGGGAAGGGAAGGGAAGGGAAGGGAAGGGAAGGGAAGGGAAGGGAAGGGAAGGGAAGGGAAGGGAAGGGAAGGGAAGGGAAGGGAAGGGAAGGGAAGGGAAGGGAAGGGAAGGGAAGGGAAGGGAAGGGAAGGGAAGGGAAGGGAAGGGAAGGGAAGGGAAGGGAAGGGAAGGGAAGGGAAGGGAAATCTGTACCTTTTCAGGGGATAAAAAACTTGTGGGAGTAGTTGCTACAAAATCAGCAAAAGCCTGATAAATGCTGAGTGTGGCATGATTCTTATTTAGAGGATTTACATGTACAGGGGTGAAGATGTGATGCAGTGTGTTCATGACACGCTCTGCTATGATTGACCTTGAATTGTTTGGTTTGGTGAGTTCTGAATGGAATCAACAGGGTTAATCAGGTTTCTCTTCTCCTGTAGCTGAAAGAAAAGAAACTAGATTAGTATTTATGGTATTATCATCCCCACACTTTCTACATCATATAAGTCAAAGTCTCAGGTCACTATTACGATGGTGAGCGATAAAAAATAATGACATGTTATAAACTAGGAAATATCAGATTAAGCCAGTTTAATAACCTATGAACAAAGTCCACTTTTTCAAATCAAAATCAGAAATGTATCTCAATCAGAGACAGCTCACTGTGGAATTCTTCAGCATCCATTTGCACACCCCAGCAATACTTCTCCAAGTGGTCTGAGAAGCTCTGTGATTGACAATTTTATTAAGAACTGTGAAAGATTGTGTCATGGACTAATCCAATGGCAAATTCTTCCTGCTAATCTCAAGAGTTTAGTCAAATTTATTCAAACCTTTATTCATGAGCTGAGCACTAAGGCTTAGGTACTTCTGTGCAAAACTAAGTAAACAGCATGAACTGGGGCTAGCTTGAGAATTCACAAGTGCAGAAGCACATCTGTAAGACTGTATCAAAAGTCTTTTCCCATATCCTTAAGAAAATAGAATTTTATTTAAATATCTGCATGGAGTAGCAGAGAAAGGAGATGAAATCTCTTTTTTATGGCTCATTTCTTAGGGTTATACCTATATCTATAAATTTTGTTCATAAGCCTTTGAGATGCCTTCTGCGCCGTACAGAAACTCTTTATTTATACAGCTATTGATGTTTACAAGGTTATGAACAATTTCCTGTCTGGATTGTCCCACAGTTTATATGCTGCTTTATCAATGCAAAAGCCACATTAGAAGAAATCAGGCGGTTGCTTTGGACAAGGTGATAAGCTGTTGCACAACCTTATGTGTTTGGTCTCACAGACTGCAAACTGAGTTTCTCGAAAAATCTTTCTGCAACAGAAGTGCCACAGTATATGTGCATTTCCCCTACAGGCAGAAGCAAATCCCATCATTTTACCATTTTGAAAGAAATGTGAAGAGAGAAAGACAGAAGAAAGGTAAGCAGAGAAGGAAATTTTAAAAGAAGCACAGAGTAGAGAGATCAGTCAGTAGAAGGAGAGCAAGGAGAGTGCAGTGGGAGAAGGAAGGCGGTCCTCTAAGATTAAAGTTTTGCCAAATGGAGCCTGTAGGCTTTAGTCATGTTTGTCAGCCATCATCTTGTGTAAGAAGAGGTAATTCTCCTGGGACAATATGCTGTTCTGAAGTGGCTGGCTGGGACACTGCACTCGGGTGGCATTCACCCAGCTGCATTAGCAGTGTTTCTTGGCATGGCTCCTGTTGTGCTGGGGAGGTAAAATGTGGCACTCCCTCTGAGTCAGCTCTCCTTGTACTCACACCATGCAACATCACCTTGCATCACAGCTCCTTCCCCCTGCAGCCACGTCACACCACTGGTGAGAGGTGCACGTGAGAGTAGCATGTGAAGCTCATGAGGCACTCCTCAGCACGTAATGGAGCAAAGAAATGCCTCCACTTGTGCCTGCATTTTTTGCTCCTGCTGTTTATGCAGGCATCCTCAAGAGACTGCTAGTTAAGATGGAGCTCTGGGGCACAAAAATCAAAACTATTCCTATTTTATATTTTTTGAAAGTATCGCATTATGTTAGACGAATGGTTTTCTGTAGGCACACAGTTTGTGGTAACTGGGGATGGGACTGCAGCAGAGCCTCATCCCCAGTGGGCACAGCTGTGAGAAGCAGGTGAGCAGCACTGACAGCAATGAGCCATGGAGTGCCCAGGGGCACTGACCAACCACCAGAGGGAACAGAGGGCACACAGGGGCACTGCATTAACATGAGGGGTATAAAAGGTTGGGCTAAAGAACAAGGAGGGCAGATGCTTGCAGCTTTCTGAAGTGATGTTACCCTGTATGGGCAGATAGCTGAAGCTTTCTGCTATGGTATGGAGTTACTCTGTATGTGTAAATGCTTAAAGCCTTCTGAAATTGTATGGTAGCCCTCTCAACTACAGCATGTGCTGTGGTATATGTTGTGATAGTTTTCATTCACAGATTCATTCTTACTGCCTCTACTGCTGCTGATCTGCTGCTTCTAGCCATGCTAAGCATCCTATCCATGAATCCTATTCAAATATCTTAATGATCTATTTCAGACCTAAAAGTAGGTGTATCTGGGCTAGAACCCAGCAGGCTTTTGTGGGTCTAAGAGGCAGAGATGTCACCTGACCTCAGGTGAGTGCTGTTCATTTTCTAACACCCACAGTGGTTTGCTGTGTGACTTTAATCCAGTTACTTTTCTGCATCCTGGTCTTTGCCACATGCAAACAGTGAGAATACTACCTCCTGGGCTTTGAGAGCTCTAAACAAAATTTGATAGCCCTTCTTACATGCAAAGGTCACAAAAGAAGGAGTGACACTCTCCTTAGTTAAGTGCTTAAACAGCAGGTTTGCTTTGGTGGCCCATAAGCCACATTTGCATAAATCAACAAAGGGGATTTAGACAAAGAAGGAAGAAACCAATGCAGGATGAAGGTAAGCTTTCTGTACTTGAGAATGTTTCTCCCCCTGTGAGATATGCTATGCTATGCTATGCTATATATTATCACTGTCATTGAAAGGGGTGTGTATAAGAACTTGAAAGACCAAATCAGCTTGTCTCTAATTTTTTCCATATATCACAGTCCTGCAGGTGACTTTATTCCTAAAGTGCTGGGCTATGCTGCTCTTGAAGCCTCCTGCTCCCCCTTGCTCCCAAGACCTACTTCTGGACTAAAGTGCTGCATCAGGATTAATCACCTGCCTAAAAGTAAGCTCAATTTTTTTACTGAAGTCATTGTTTGTAAAAGAGCTGTAGGCTGCCGAAATGGTTTTGCTGTGATGATTTTATCAGGCACTCAACTGATGTACTCCCTGCCATTCTCATTTCTGCTTCGCTAATTTTTTCAATGGTAAGCAACAAACTTTGCTTCAATTAATTAATTATGGACACAAACATGAGCCTCAACACCTTTTAATAAATTAACAATCTCAGCCTGTATCACTAAATCAGAAGAGATTATTTGTAGTGTGAAAACTAATTTATAGATTTTGTGAACACAGTACCAGGTAGTGTAAGACTGAGAGCTGTAAAGTTCTGGGTTTGTTTTTTTTTTTTTTTTTGGGGGGGGGGGGGGGGGGGGGAAGTGCCTGACTCTTCCACTTTCTGTGTCTCCTAAGTGTATTTAAGCAGATATGTGCATACATAAACAGCATTAGTTAAAGGTGAGATACTATTCAATGTGACCCAAACCAATATCCTGTTTGCATAAAAGGCATTAAAATATATTCTCTTTTCTAATAATACTAATGATTATCATTAATTTCTGGAACATCCAGAGCTCTATATGGGATGTTCCAGAAATTAATGGTAATCAATAATGTCTTTGCATGTAGGTAAATCAGTATTTTTCCTTCCCCAATAGCTTTTGCTGCCTGTAAGGCATGTGGTCAAACCTGGTGATAGGATTTGAAGCTGGCAGCTTTACCCCACACCTGTGAGTTCAAGTCCAGTCCTCAGCAGGGACTGAGGTTGCCATTCCATTTCACAGACAGTTTCCCAGCTTAGAGAAATAATTTGTCCTCACAATAACTACAAAGTCAAGCACGTGCCTAGTTCTAAGTTACTTTTTTTTAATCCAGTGGCTTTGGAATTTTTTTCACACCCTTTGTTTGTAACAGTTCATCCATCTTCCCAGATATTATTTCAGCTTGAGGATACCTACTTTACATGGTTCATGGATTCTGGATTTCATTCCAGACATTTGTGGGAAATCCTGCATATTGGGTGGCAGGTATAAAGAGTGAATAAGATACTTTGAGAAGGTTGTCTTTGCAATTATTCTTAAATTGTGTCTTTCCAATGATCTGTGGAGATATTCTATTCTCTCCAAGATGGCAATTGGCTTTCAGGTGCTTATTCTGCCCACTGAACTGGCAGCACCCCACAACACACCACTCCAGCTACGAGCATGAGATTTAGTTCCTAAAATGCTCTGCAGCAGGTAATGATAGCAGTGGCCAGGTAAATACACACTTAGCTGGCAAGAACAAGGATTCTGATAGGCACCAGAGAAAGGCATCTGTAATAGTGCAAGAGTTCCCCACTACAGGATTGGCAATGTTAAGAGAGCAATACTCTGTGCACTGGAAACCCTGTACTTCACCAGGGAATAGCCTTCCTGTGGGGAATCCCAACTCTGTTTGAAGGAGTTAATTCCAAGTGTTCTGGTGTCAGGTCAGATCCATATTCAGAAGCTAAGTAAGCACTGCTTGTTAGAAATCTTCTCCCTTCTAAACAGTTGGTTCAAATTCCTAAATGGTCCTAATATTCTTCTTTGCACTCAGCCTGAATCATTCTGAAAAGGGAGGTAGTACAACCCACTCATGTTAATGAACCAAACTTTTGGTCAGAACCGGGAAAAAATTATGGGTGCATGCAACATTTTTCTCTTCCAAAGCTGCTTTTGTTCTTTTACTTGACAACACTGCTGGTCTGCTGGTAAAAACCTTGCCTGCCAAGACACAGTTTGGGTAATAACAGTAATCTCCACGTGGCTTCTGGTGATGCTAATCCAAGACCACTAACCATGTTTGTTTCTATATCACTAAGTTTGACATATGAGGTAGAATATAAATATCCTTGCTTCAAGCAAATGGTTGCAATTAAAGCCCTGCAGGAATCGAGGGGGTTTTTTTTAATAATATTGTTTTAATATTAGTTTTCATTCCATCCTAGAATATAATTCTAAATTCCACTTGAAATTACAGAAATCACAGAAAATATTTTGTTCTAAAATTTAAAGTGATGTGATTCACTTGAAGTTAATTCTGGATCACTCACATGAATTGCTTTGATTTTTATTAAAGATTTGCCTGTTATTTACTCTTCTTTCACTCTTTTAAACAAACATACAAAAAACCCCAAATACCAGCCCCACAACACTGAAATTGAAATAGTCCTAGGAAACTTTTGAGATCAGCAATTGCCAAAGGCAAAGCAGCCCAGCTGAGGCATTTTGGCAATTTCTAACTTTACTGTAGACTGTTACTTGTCATCGGTATAAGGTCTGTGATGCAACAGCTGCACAGCTCTGCCTTCATCCAGGTGAACAGTGGTGCAACATCTACACTCTGGAGAATATGCTGCATTGAAATCCACGTGTAGCTGAGCGTGAGCTCCCTGTGCTCTTTAGAGACACAGCTTAACAATCAGGTCAGATGCCTCTTGCTAAGCAAAGATGAGTTGAGGAAATAATGACCCTTCTCTGACTAAGGAATGATTCTTCCTCCAAATGCTTTCTATTGCTCAGTTCCTGATGCTTTTAGGCTTTCTAGGAGTCCTTCACGGTTACAATCATTTCTCTCCAGAACCAAATTTAAACCAACCAGGGAATTCCCTTTTCGTTTCTTCCAGAGTAGCCTACAAGTACATGTTGAGCACACACAGATAATGTCACTACAGCAGTGCCACCAGCCTGGCACAGGCAGCCCTTGAACAGAAAGGTACTTTGCTGTGAGGCCAGAGAAGAATGTAGGTCAGCATAATAACATTTGACCTACACTTTCCTCTGGTGAAATTAATAGGCTTAAGGACTGTGATCCTGATGGCTTTTGAAAACCTGTTTTGTGCTTGGTAGAAACAGAGTAGAAGTGTAATTAAAAGAGATGAAACTGTGGTAGCAAGACTGCCTAGAAAGGAACAGATGAAGACCACTGATTTACAGGCCATTGCTGAGCTCAGCTTCTCTTCTGCTATTTTGTTGTATGAGCCCAAATGCAGTTTCTAAAATAATTTTTGCAAAAATATGAAGTAGTTCTAGCACACCTGATCAGAGACAGGATCCTGGCTTTAGAAGGACTGCTATCTGGGATGCTGCAGTCCCCTGCCATGATCCCATGGGATGAAACACAGGGTAAGTTTGCCTTCCCATTCCAACACTGGTAATTTTAATGCTTTTATTTTCTGGCAATCAGAATTTATCAGCATTCATATTTTTTCTAATACAAAGTGGAGTGTGTTAAAATTTATGACACCAAAAATATTGTGTAGTTTTTCATTTCTTCTCTTTGTTTTCCAGCACTTGTTAAAAAGAGGAAAATCATCTTAAAAAGCCAGAACATGAAAGATCTGAATTCTATGGTTTTTTCCTCCATCTTCAGCTGTTTACCATCATCCTGCCAGGTATCTTTCCCCTCACACATCAAGCTGTACTTTTAAGAACAATTCTGACATGTTCCTGTTACAAGGGTATGTATAGGTTCTTATGTTCTTATATGGTGATATGAAATTTTACCTGCCCCTGAGATATAAAAGGTATGTGAAGGTGAGGTCTCAGAGTCAGCACCTTTAAAATGCTTATCAAACACAACAGTACTACAAGGGGCTGTGAAATATTTGAAAATAATTATCTGAGTCTTTCCAAAACCAAAGCAAAGACAGAAACTGGACTAGATGAATGCTGTTCCATGAACAAAACATGTCATCTCATTTATATGACAGTACAAATATTGCCAAAGATATTTATCAAAATCAGATCAAAGTTTCAAGCCCCATGGACAAAAATATTTCAAGGTCATTCACTGTACCTGTGGATTGACAGAATAAATACTTCTGCTTTTCTATTATCTTCAGATAGAAGAACAAGGAGCAATCCAACACTCATGTAGATAGAAAAGCAATGTCATGAACTTTTCACTTGGCTGCACATGGAAACACAGACAAGGGTAAGGGTCTGGACTGGCCTGTGGCACTAGCTCACAGTAGGCCCTGAAACACAGGGCTGGATTCATGCCCAGCCCCACTGGGATGCTCATCTCCTCTAAATCTGTCTGCTTGTGGATGTTATGATATTCTGGTTTTCCTAAGGGAGGCTGGAGGTTGTGGCAGAAGATGAGAAAAAAAAATAAGTATGCCTGATTCAGAAAGGGATCAATTCAGCCTTCTGCTTTTCTTGAGCAGCCTCTAAAGTTTCTGTAGAGCTAAGGCTTAATTTTAAAGCTTTTTTGGTTTTGTTTTTTTTTTCCCCTGGCAGAAGGGCTGTGAACCTGCACTCCCACTCTCCCCCACGGAAGCCTTCAGACCGTGGCATAGCCAGGTGTGCTCAGTCTGCAGGGCTTGTAAAGCTGATCCAATGTCAAGCTCATCTGATTTTCCTTCTAAATAAGGAGGTGAATGAAATCTAAGAGTCAAATATCCTCAAGGTATGGGTCTCAAAAGTCAGACCCAGAGATTCTGCCCACCTCTTGGCTTCACTACAATGTCACAGTAGAATCTCAGGGTTTAAAACATCGCATGCAGTATATTACATTCTGTATGTGCATGCATATGAAGATATTTATAGCATGGGAATGATTCATGAAAGCAACCACAAATTCCTCTGTAAACATTTAGGAGTTGTAATTAAAGTAATTAGAAATATTAATTACTTTACAGGAGCCATGTAGGATGCAAGATCCATATTACAGTTATTCTGTCACAATTTCAAGCCCTTTGAATTAATTTTACTCTGGAAACTACTCCAGCTTATTTGCATCATTTTGCATTCTGAACTCAATGTCTAGACAGACTCTTCACTTGACTTGCAGTGATATAAGCCATGTTTAATTACAATTTCATATAAGCAATGCCTAAAGTCAAACTTTCTGGATTCAGTTGAAACTTATATAGTGAATAATAGATGACTGGACTAAGAAACTGTGAAATACAGGCCAAGTGTAGGATGCTGTAATATGTGAAAATAACTACATTTTCAGATTTTTTTAGACTACTTTAATTTACATCCTTGATGGTCTTTCTTTTGCTATTTACTGTTCTGCAACTGCCTCGCTCAAGTAATATAATAAATATTACAGATAATATATTAAAAGTTAATTTAGAATCCTTGAAGATACTAAAGCAATAATTCCTCAAGTCTTGGATTCCTGGAACTGCTTAGGAATCAAAACCCAGAGAAATTACTAGTCATCCTTAAAAAGCTAAAAATACAATAACAAAGCCTGTGTTTTGATTCTAGGAAGAAAAAAATAGTGCTTGTGTCACAAATAGTTTGTTAACTGCAGTATATATATCATATCAGGTCTAGCTATTATACCAGTTAACAGTTAAAATATGTTTTTTGGGGGAAAAAAGTTTATTGCAAATATATGCATATTTCTGGTAACTGCATTGCTGAGGAGAGAAGCTGTTAAAAAAATTGGAATTTGATTGGCTATAATTGTCTGGCAGGGTTACTTGGAAGCTCTTTGTCCATTGATGTGTGTTGAGAGTAATACATTTTTCATTTTCTAATCTAACAAAATATTCCCCATGATGTCGTTAACATTATTTTAGATTCAATGAGTGAAAGAACTTGCTGGAATTGTAGGAAAAATTGTATAAATTAATATGTTATCTATCTGCCATAAAGTGTAGCTAGGTGGCTTTAACTGAGTACTTTCCCATCTGCAAGTCAAGTTATTTCAGTCTAAGAACACATTGTTGCTTTTATTACAGAGTTCTAAATTTTCACAAATTCTCTTCTTTGACCTTTAAAAAACTTTATTGCAGTTTTAAGAGGAAGTTTTTATTTCCAGGTGAAACACTTCCTCTTGAAATATCTCTCACAAAATGAAGTACAAAAGGCTGAACAACAGAACGCAGAAAAAAGGCCAAACACAGGGCTTGATGTGCTCTGCAGGAATAAAGGAAGTCTGCAGTCAGGAGAAAGCAAAGGGATTAGTTTTGCTTGAAATATGTTTATGTGAATTTTTCATTGCAGTTTTCTTTCTTGTCAAATATATTACATATTCTAATTCTTTCTGGACATCTGTCTTCTCAGAATACTGGAGTGAGCACAATGTCTGTGAGTGGTTGCAAAATTTTGCTGTGACTGGTACAAACTAGATGTCAAATGCATTTCCCTTTCCCACTTTAATATCAATGACTTGCAGTTATACCACATGACCCAGGAACAGTTTGTGGCGGCTGCAGGCCTTTGTGGAGAATACTTATATCTTATGGAATAGCAGGATGCATGGTTAGCATTCCAGAAATCAAACTCAAAACATAAAACATTGCATTTTTTGTGCGAGTTTAACAAAAAACTGTGGAATCTGCATTCCTGAGCATTGAAAAAAGGCAAAATACAGAGGCCATTTAGATACTACACGAGCAGTATGTAGAAAAAGGGCAGGCAGATAGCAATCACTGCAAGCTTTGACCTCACAATCACACACAGTCCAGGCTCATCTTTGCAAACCACTCAAATTTCCAAAGGGACACAAGCTCTGCTCTCTCCTTTGGTTTTCTACTCAAAGTGGTCAACCTGAATGCTCCAAGGGAGGTTTGAATTCTAACAGGATATAGAAAGACAAAACACAATGTCATTCCTCAAAGTAACTCAAAGTAAGGAACATTGGTCTGCTTTTTAAAGAAGTTTTGTTTGATGGTGTTATTGTGCATACTGCACTGATAATCCAACCTCATTTGTAGTATGCTTAATGATGCACTTGAATGAAAACACTTTTAATTTGCTATTTTCAACCTTGTCTTGGAAGATTTTTTTTTTTTTTTTTTTGCTTAAATGACCTGAGATTCAAAAACTAAGCAATTGCTAGTTCAGTGTAAGTCAGATAGAAGTGCAGGTGCTGCTGCAGATACCCTTTCTTGCTATTCACTCCTGCCAAAGATCAATTGGTGTGGATGCCAAGCTTTGGCAATTCTAACCAGCTCCATTGTGGTGATACAAACAAAGAGTTTCCACTAAGCAGGGAATTTCAGAAGGTCATTTCCCTATATCCTAGCAATGAGAATCTGAGGAGCATTTTATCTGCTCAAATCTCTCAGTGGCTCAAGCCTTCTCTGGCTTAGGGGAGTATTTGGCCAAACTGGAGTTTTATGACTGCTGGAAAAGGATTAAAGGCTCAGGCATGAAAGTCCTGGAGGATCTCATGGGAGCTGACACTGGCAGTGGCTCCCAGTGGTGAGCACCTGCTTAGTCACAATGTGCTGGAATTTATCCATCTCTCACTGGCCCACTACCCACCTTTGAACTGCCCAGTGGGGAGTGGAGGCTGGCAAGGCAGAGTGAGCAGTAAAGGGTGACCTGGGTGCACAATGAACAGGGAGGGGCAGCCTGAAGTTGAAACAGGATCATTGACAGACTGGGAAGACCAGAGGCGAAACAGTAAGAAAATACATGGATGAGCTTTATCAAAGTGCAGCAGGGCTGTGCAGTGACTGAGGCTGCTGCCAATAGGCTGGGAAAGGTGAGCAAGGCTGGAGACTGTCACAAGAGCAAAACAACCCTGTGTTTAGGTTGTTTTGCCCACTGCCCTGCTGTGGGACTGACCATCATCACCTTCTTCCACACAGTCTTCATATATCATGTCAGGCTATTCTGAAGGCAATTATTAAATGTAGGAGATAAGGAAGTAATCAAGGGAATTAAAGAATACAGAGCTGGGAAGAAAATCTCATTAAGAAAGTTAACTTTTTGAAGTCTGTAGAAATTGGACACTTGTCATGAAACAAACTGCAGCAGCTCATGAATAACAAAAGGCCTGTGAGGAAAGACGGGAGTCCAGCAATGCCAGGCCTTACTGCAACATAATCAGTGGACCAAACCATGGCTGCACAAGCAGGCTTAATTCTAGCTTCTACCAGTTTTGTATGCCACATTCACAACATGAGTTAAGTTCCTTGAATGCAGATTTGTATATGCAGGCATTTCCTTGTGTTTTGTGAATGCAATAACTCCTTTTAAAGGTGATACTCACCTAATAATGTAGACAAGTTTCAGGCTTGTGAAGATCTGATTTCCAGCACTAGAGATGATTTTTACTTAGGGAAAGGAGGGAGGGAAGACTGCAAGGGTCGTTTTCAAGGCACAAGGATCTGAATGAGAAAGAACTAACCCTAACTGTAAAGACAATAAAACAAACTGATATAGATGACAGCAAAAATGAAGTGCCAAGGGACCACAGGGCAAAGAAACAAAACACATGAATCACAAAAACAGAGACATACAGACACAATGCAAAGGGCAAGAAAAATACCCCAAAAGTCCAAAAGTTAAAAAAAGAAACCCTAAAACACTGACATAGTCTCCCCAACTCCCAAGTTTTTAGGATAGTTAGGAAAGGTATCCTGGGGAAGTTTTGAAAAAGTGGAAGTCCTGACATAACTTTCATAACTGAAAGCTT